ACAGTGATCCTCCTGCTACAGCCTCCCGAGGGCTGGAATTACAGGCGTGCACCACCATACACAGCCTGTGGCCTTTTGTCTTTATTGTTAGCAGTCTCAGTCTTCCAGTCTTACAAGGTGAGAGAAGTTGGCCCAGCTCTAATGAGATAATGGGAAACCTCAAAAGGGTGACACCAAGAGTCCCAAGCCTCCATCCACCTCTTAGAGAAGTATGTAGAGCTAGCCACTGTGACCTTAATCTTCGGATGGCCCTCCAGCCACTGTCCAGATCCCCTCTTCCTTACTAACCCCTTCCAGGGCCTGGCGCCATCTGGCTGCCTACTGTTTCTAACTCATTTGCTGTCTATAATGCCAGGGTCTGAGTTTTGTTTTTGTTTTGATTTGTTACCAGTACATTACTGTTTGTATCACAGTACCTCTGTAATATAATTTCAAGTCAGGGATAGTGATTGCCCTGCCTTATTTTTGTTGCCCAGAATTACTCTTGCTATATTAGTTCCAAATGAATTTTAGGATTATTTTCTCTAATTCTGTGAAGTGTGGTGTTATTTTGATCAGGACTGGATTACATCTGTATAACAATTTTGGAAGTATGGCCAGGGAAGTTTTTATATTTTCCGATATCCTCTTCAACTTCCTTTTTCAGAGTACTGTAGTTTTCAGTGCAACGGTTTCTTATTTCCTTTGTTAGATGGGTCCTTTTGTATGTCTCTCTCTCGTTTTCCATGCTATTGTGAAAGGCATGGTTTAATTTTTCTCTCAGTGGATTTATTTGTGTATAAAAACACTACTGATTCTTGAGTGTTGACTTCATTTTCATGGATGCCACTAATTTGTTTACAATAGCTAGAAGTCTTTTGGTGGAGTTTTTGGGTTCTTTGTAGAGTATCATTATCATATGCAAATAATGATAACTTCTTCCTTTCCTATCCTTATTCCTTTCATTTCTTTCTCTTGTCTTATTGTTCTAGCTAATGTTTCCATAACTATATTGAGTAAGAGTAGTGAAAATAGACATTCTTTGCTTATTCCTGATTTTCTTTTCCTGTGTTGTCCTTCTCTTGTTTTTGTTTCTAGTTTTGGTACCTGGGATCAAACTCAGGGCCTTGCACTTGCCAGGCAGATGCTTATGCCCCTGAGCTACCTCCCAGCCTCTACAGTAGACTGTGAAAGGGTGAGAATCTGTGAAAGGGAAGGATCAACTGGAATGAGAGAAAGGACAAAAGAAAGAAGGGAAAAAATACATACAGGATAGCCTGAATAACTGTACTGCTGATTTCTGCTGGTCTATTGAAAGGAGCAGCTAATGCTTTTTTTTTCTTTTTCTTTTCTCTCCTTTATAATTTTTTGTAAGTTTTTTTTTGACCAATTGTGTATGCTTATATCTCATAACCTGAACAACTAATTTGAAGACAACAATATACAATATAGCAACCATTGTTGAATTCCTGCTGTTGAGTGAAATTCTGTATTATTTCTAATTTTTTAATTCTCTTTAAAAAATAAAAAACAGGGCTGGCCAAATAGCTCAGCAGATAAAAGTGCCTGCAAGCAGGTGCAGGGGCCAGGGGGTGGGGGTGGGTGGGTGATGGTAGGGGTTGATCCCTGGGCCTGCCTTGCGGGCCCTGCCCCTGGGGCACGTTGAGATAGCAATTGAGACTGGGCATCGTGGCACACATCTGTAATCCCAGCCCTTAGGAGGCTGTAAACAAGCAGATCACTATGAGTCCGATCTAGTAGTGAGACCCTGAACACCCTGTAGACCTTCCCCTAAAATAAAAATTAAATAGCTAAAAAGAAACCCAAACAAAATATGAATTATTTCTGTCCTTAGGGCCAGATATTAGAATTCCTGGAGAATACATTGAACGTAAATTGGAATTAAAATGATGACAAAAATGTGCTTCTGCCTAATGTGGCTGTTGATATTGGCATTTTTTGACATTCATGTTTCTATCTTTTGCGTTTTAATTTTGAAATATATCTAAGGGAAAATGGTATCTTCCCAAATTTTAATCTAACACATAAATTGATATATGAATTTAAATAAAACATGCACTTATAAATATATTTGTGCTTTTTAAATTTTAGTGCCCCAAAGACAGCCTAACATAACAGGTAAGAAAATAAGAGATTATAAATGTGCACTTGAAAGAAACGGTGTTACAATAACTAGGATAAGAAACAAAATAGTCCTAATTTATTATGTTACTAAAATATGAACTGCAAATTAAATTGTGTTAGCATAAGTCTTTTGCTATTTTCTTTTCTTATGCCTTCTTAAATAATAAGGATGCATTAATTCCCTTTCATAACAGCTAGATTACACTGGTGCATAAAAAGGGTACAAATTCTATGAAAAACAACTCCCCAAAAAAACCCTTATGAAAAAGCAGCAGCCTCATATTTCTCTTTTGTGTGTGTATGTATGTGTTTTAGGGAAGGGTCTACAGGGTACTAAGGGTCTCACTACTAGATAGGACTTGTAGTGATCTGCCTGTTTATAGCCTCCCAAGAGCTGGGATTACAGGTCCGCGCCAAGCCCAGTCTCAATTGCCATCTCAGCACGCGCCCTGGGGGTGGGGCCGGCACGGCAGGCCTGGGGATCCAACCTCCTGCACCTGCTTGCTGGCACTTTAATCTGCTGAGCTATTTGGCCAGCCCCCAGTATTTCTCAAAGATTGTTATTTGTCGTCTGGCATTCCCATGCAAATTATCTAGCTTTTATTTTATCCTGATGTCTTTTTTGCTTTGAGACAGGGTCTTGCTTTGTAACTCAGCTTGGACTTGAACTCACCGGGTTGCCGTGGCTGGCCTCAAGCTCTCAGCACTCCTCCTGTCTCAGCTCTCGAGGGCTGTGATTACAGGCATGCACTGCCATGCACTGGTCTCCCTGGTGTCTTTTTAATCTTACTAGCTTGAAAAGACGAGGGATATAAATTCATTATACAGAACATGTCAGGTTTACGTTAGGCAGTGCTGGAGACAACCAGGGACATGGCACTGGGCTACATCCTCAGCCCTTTTTATTTTTTATTTTTTCTAAGATAAGCTTTTGTTAAATGTCCCAGGCTGGGGTCAAATTTGGAATCCTTCTGCTTTAGCCTCCCAGAGTGCTGGAATTACAAGCATTCACCACTGTGTCTGGCTTCATTTTTCTTAACTATTACCTTTCCACTTTTTTCCCCCAGCGTTTGCATTAGAAGGTAAGCTCCCTGAAAACAGATGTCTTCATCTTCTTTTGTTTATGGTTAGAGTCCTTATCTGATGAGGTATTTGACTGTAAGAACTTGTCTCCCCGATCCCCTGAATTTTGCCTCTGTCCTAAGGGACCCAGAGTGTGGCAGGTGACAAGCATTTACTGCATTTGAACTTTATGTAAGCTTCTTATTCGAATAACAGAGACACTATCTGCCTTAACCAGTTGGTGAGGAAACAGGTTCGGTGATTTTCAGTCTGCTTAGAACCAGACTACATCTGACTGATTCAGAGCTTGTATTTTTTCCTGCTCTGCTGTGTTTCCTTGCTTGGAGGATTTCGGTGTGGACTCGGTGACCACTGAGCGCAAGCTGCTTCCTTCCAGTGTTCTCTGTTCTCAGAGGCCTTCTATACGAAGTAATTAGTGGTCAGTGGTTCCCGAATGATTATTATTTTATGTCACCTTTGTCATCAGTACAATTTGGCAGCTACCAACCGAACTTCAAATAAAGTCTAAATTCTTTGCTCCAGTGTTTGGGTCTTGCTCTTTTTCCTTCTCACTGTCTTTCTCCTCATACAGACTGCCTGTTAGCCTCCAAGAATTACTTGGCGATGCTGTATATGGTTCCTTTGTAAGAATGTGTACTGTTTTATTGGGGCTGGGGCTATCGCTCAGTAATGGCAGAACACTTGCCTAGGATGCGTGAGCCCCTGGATTTGATTCCCAATGTCACACAAAAGTTATTAGAAGACAATGTTTTCCAGATATGGTGTTAGATATCTGTCGTCTCAACTATGTGGGAGGCTGAAGCAAGACCCTTGCAAGTTTGAAGCCAGTCTGGGCGACTTCATGATATCCTGGATCAAAATGAAAATATAAAAAAATAAAAAGAATGGCGTACAGTCCATGCTAGACCTCTTATTTATTTTATTTTATTTTATTTTATTTTTTTGCAGTACCAAGGATTGAACTCAGGCCCTTGCACTTGCCAGGGAAGCGCTTATTCTCCTGAGCCATCTCCCCAGCCCCAACCTCTTCTTTAATAGGCATTGAGCTTTGTGTTCAGTTTCTAGTACCACACACAAGAAAGGTATTTAATAAACAAGTCACTAGAAAGTTATTTCCAGCTAAATTGATAGTTAACTTATGTTCTTATAATTCTCTAAATGTTTACTCTCTCTGCATCTTGTAGCTGATGTACTTTTTTCCTGGATTTCAAGTAGATGAAACCTTACTTGTGGTAAAGATCCAGTTCAGATCCTGTTTCTTCCAGAAAGCTTTTCTTGGTCCTACTAACCAGGAGGAATGTGTAACGTTGCGTGGCTTCCCATTGTCGCAGGCACTTAGGTGCATAAGCTCTTGTAGGAGAGCTAAGGCCTTGAGAATAAATCAGGTAAATGTGAGAGAAAATCACCTCTATTCTCTGTCAGGGAAGGCCAGGAGAGAATGTCTCCAGAGAGGAACATAGCCACCCGTATGTCTTGGGTTTGGGGCAGTTGAAGGGGGACACTCATACAATTGGACTCTGCTAGGCACCCCCAAAGCCTGACTTGGTATAGCAGAGAAACATCTGGTATCCGGATCGTGGCTGCTGCTGGGTGTGGTAGCGCATGCCTGTCAGCCCAGCACTCGGGAGGCTCAGGCAGGACGATCATTGCGAGTTTGAGACCAGCTTACAAAGTGAGCTCAAACCAGCCTGAATTGCATAGGGAGAGCTTGTCTCCAAAAGACCAAAGAGAAAAAAAAGGCTGTTCTATGGCAGAATGCATTACAGAAGTGACCCCTGGGCTCTGTATTTCAGATTCCACGAGGGTAACCTTCAGCACGACGATACCTCCTCCTGGCATTTCCAGCACAGGTGAGAACAAGCTGGCGGCTAACCCTGGGGCCTTCCCTTAAGAGGCGATTTCCTCAGGTGTTATTTCCTGAGAAGATCATCTCCACAATAATCCATTATTCTTGGTGATTTTCCAATCAAATCTTCTCAGAGGCCACAACTTCCTTAGAAGGAGGTGGAGTCACTGAGGGTGGGATAACCCTTGCCAAACCCACTAAGGCACGATCACCCCCCAATAAGTGGTGTTTCCCAAAGTACAGCTGCACCATTCTATTCTCCAAAATAAACAGTTTTGAAATGAAAAGCAGTAACTTGATAACAGTTTGCAAGATTCAGGACCCTAAAACTTTGTTCCATCCCAAGGAACCGACTGAGGGCACCACGGGGCAAGGCCACTGTGATCAGATGTGTGGGTACAGTTAATGGGCACATGCACTAGAACAGGGCAGCTTACAAGGGCTTATTTCAGCAAAGACACAAAGCGAAAACCTGGCTCATGAATTGTGCGACTCACAGAGCTGGAGAATTCCAGCCACCAATGTCCTC